GGACCGGGACAGAGCAAAGGACAGGAGGTCGCGGTTGCGAAGGGCATACGCCTGGAGAGCACGGCGCCTGATCACCCTAGTCTGAGAACGGTGACGCTTCCCATAGCCCAGATAGTCCCACTCCCCACGAGAAATACCTGGAGTGAACGGCGACAATCGAGCGGGACAACTGGAGAGGCTGTCGAACCAAGAAGAGGCGTCGCGGTAATCGTATAAAAACTAGCATTATACCAGACATTCGACCTCAGAGACCGAATAAATAATTGTGAAGTCGAGAAATCAAAGTTGTCTTCTTATTCACTGGTTGGGCAATCACGACATATAAATTTGGCGGGACGAACATAAAACTATTACTAAGCTAGCCGCACAATTCAGTAGCGAGCAAAAAAGCAAACAAAATCAGTTTGTTACAATTGTTACTTATTAAAGTTTTTAATTTTTTAAATGCTTCAATGTAATTAGGATCGTTTATATTTATTTTCGATCCTTTCTTTAAACAAAGAGTCATTGGTTTTGCAATTTTTGCGAAGTTTTTTATAAATTTACGATAAAATCCACTAAGGCCTAATGAATTTAAATGATTTTATTTGTTTTGGGGAGTTTGGAATTTTAAAATCTTGAATAGCTTGAATTAAATAAATTTGCTTTAATTTCTTCTGTTGTAATTATGTGACCTAAAAATTCTGTTTCTCGTTTCATAAATTCACATTTATCTAATTGTAGTTTGGGATTTGATCTGCGAAGACGTTCGAATACTTTTTTTGAGAGATTGAATGTGTTTTTGTATAGGGGTAGAAAATATACAAAAGTCGTCTAAATATACCAGACAATGGGTGCCTATTATGTCGTGTAGTATATTATTCAGTCAACGCTGAAATGTAGCGGGTGTTACGAACTGCTTTCTTGGGTGGGCAGTAAAGCTAGCTCAGCGATCTCATTTGGGCCAAGTTCTCCCCAATGCCCGCAGTCCGACAACATAAAATACTAACATCGATTACGGTCGTCTCACAACACTAAACTCTCTGCGATCACTAACAAAATGTAAACAAAGCAAAAACGTAAACATTGAAATACAAGGCGGCGGAAATTCGGATCTTTGGTGGCCATCAGTATTCTTAGCCACTGCGTACCCACCCAACTTAGGATGCTAGGTAAGTATTATCCACGCATCACCCATAATGGGTCAGTAAGTCACTCCAGGCAAATAATTTAACTCCATCTCCCCCACAGAAAAAGGTCTAGCAATTCATCATCATTATAATGGGGTCTTTCATACTTCAGGTAAGTTCATGTATATTTAACAGACTCACCAGTTAACCGCCGGATAAATATTTAGCGGTCAAAGCGGGATCTAAGAAGCAAGGATCAGACACTCACCAGAAAAAAATGTTCCGTCCCCTTGTATTGGCAGAACTCACTTCACTAATACGGCTGAGTTGTTTGGTCACCTAATCCTAAGGAGCTCCATGGGAATAAAAAGGACGCCGAAAGGTATGGGAGATTTACACAAACAAATCCTTTATCTTAAATAATCGCGACCTTTCCTTTTTAGCAAACCGCCGGTCAAACGCTGATCTTGTACTAATTCACAACTAAATTGGATAATCAGGTATTTGAATTCTTAATGACTACACATCTCATTAATTTATTTTCTCAGTTTCAGGAAGTGGTGGCTGGGCTCAGCCCACCAGATTATTGCACCACAAGGAACTTGGAGGCGTATATAGACTGGCTGGCCAACCTCGTGGCTCCAACCGCCCGCGAGGGAAATTGGCCACTATTTTGGAAGCACCCCAACACGGAACGGACTCACCAGAGATCTCTAGCGGGTAGCGAGGATTTGGTCGTTGATGGCGGGTTATGTAAGCCTATGTAAGCCAATTGGAGAACATCCAAAATTGGTTCTCCTCCGAATATATATATATTCTCCTCGAAACAAATTGTGCCTCCTCCAGAAATACTATATTTTCCAATAAACGATTTGTGCCTCCTCCAGAAATATAGTGTTCTTCAAAAATTAAACGTGTTGCTAAAAAAAACGTGGCTTCTCCAGAATATGGCAATCTTTAAAAAGGTTATATCGTCTTCAACGAAAAAATATGAATTCCCCAAGAAATTTTGGTTCCTCAAAAAATGTGGGTTTCCTCCAGCAAAATATATTTGTGTTTCTTCAAAAAACATGTGGATGTCTTCCGAAGAAATTTTTGTTCCTCAAAAAAAAAAAAACAATTCGTGTCCTTTCCAGTAATAAATCCCGGGGCCCCTTATATCGGAACCCCGGTTTCACTAAACAAAAAAAAAGTGATATTTTACATTTTCAAAAATTAACCAAGACAAAAAAAAAACTTCAACGAATTTACACAAAAATACTTTTCGGTCCCGCCACGTCAGTTACGTCGATCTCTCCGGGCACTACTAACCGGTGATCCGTTTTATCACGCCATATTACCATCCTACCATCTTTCCCAGGCTCTCTCGAAGATGGGTCAATGGACATCTCCAAGGCCATCGAAGAGAACCCCCTAAGCCGAGAATACATGCTAACATTTTACATGTTGTTTACATGTTTACATGATTCGCTCATGGCCCAAAAGGTGGCGCTGCCCTAATCATAACTACCTGAACTAACCTATCGATAGCTCCTCCTGGAATCGACTCCAACTGCAACATCAACCAAGGATTTCGAGAGGTGCTACAACGAGGTTTGGAGGAACGATGAAATGCTTGGTAGCTGTGGAGGAGGCCAGGAATCCGAGCAGTTTGTACGGCGCCCTACGCGGGGCCCACGCTTGCCGGGAAGTATATAGATCTATCTCTGTGCGCTCGTATCCTTTGTGTATCCTTTTCATCTTACAGCCGGATGTTTTTGGCGTGGTAAACTCGCCAGCTCTGTGGTCTTCCACGCGCCAGGTTCAACCATATCCATCCTGCCGTCTGAGCTGCTCGGCCTCGGGATGAAAACCTGGACTGCTGTTGGCCCAATCCGATGATGCGTCCATCCTTCGCTGGGGCTTCGGCGGGATCAATGGCGTTGGCCGACATGGTTGCTTCCCTTTGGGATGGTCCCCTGCCTCTGATACGACGATCTGATTTGGATTCAGCTGCTGCTGGCAGTTGTTGCCGATCTGTCTGCTCTCTGGCCGCGGGCGACGGCCGTGGATCTGCTGGCCTGAGAGCCTCATTTAAGAGCTTCATCATCTCGAGGAAGCCTTGGCGTATCTCATCTCGCAATGACTGGCTTACTCCCGACTCCTGCGCCTTCCGGTAGGTCTCTGCCGCCTGCGCGATCGCCACGTTTGCTGCCGACTTCTCCTCCGAAGCGAGCCGTGATTTGGCCGAGTTCATGTCGCCTAGTTCGAGCAGTTGCTCGCGCTCTACTCCAGCAGCACCCTTTAAGTTAGCTAACCGACAGGAAATTGGAAACCCACAGGAGGAAGAAAACCCAGGAATCCAACCTCGAATTCAGACAGACAAAAAAAAAAAAATATATATAAACAAATAAATTAATGTGACAAAAAAAACGACAAAGAAAATGAGACTATTTGTTTATGTATCACAGCTCAATATTTTTACCGGAGACCGAGAGCAATTGGCCAGGATAATTCCGGACAAGCCTCTCGTTCTCGAACTATAATCGAGTGCGGAATTATATGCAAATGCAGCGCCTTGCAAATTGATACGGATCGGTTGAGGTCAGATTGCTGAAACATGTAAAAATATAATGCACATACTCAACTTACTTTTTGAATAATCTTAATTTTTGTACCAAAAAATAACTTAATTCACTTGAAAGTGATAAGTGAAAACCACAAAAATGGAGTGAAAATGCGTACGTTTGATTGACGGCTGTGCGTAGCGTGAATTTTGTTTTTGTTTTTCAGTGTCAGTGTCAGAGGCAGTAACTCACGCTATATGTGATTTTGATATGTTTTTGTATAGGGGGGAAAGCTTGAAGAGCCGAAGTGCGGGTCTTTTACCCACTAAAACCCTGAACCTACTCTCCGTTTTCCTTTCACGGCACAACCGCAGGGGTTAACCTTGGGTATTACTTCGTGAGGGGGAAGGTTTGAAGTCGATTGCGCTGACGTTCAGCGCGACGCATGAATTTCATGACAAAGACTGTCATTTTGCTAACGGCATCCCAATTGTTTTGTGAGCCCAGTAGCGTATCCATCAGGTCAGAGACCGTGAACAGCTTCCCAATTGCTAAGCTGAGCTCTTGTCTTATAGCTTCAAATCTCGGACAGACAAAGAATACATGTTCTGCGTCTTCGATTGCCCCCGCACAGTGTGTGCAAAAGGGGTCTGTCTTGTGCCCAAAACTATGAATATAGGATTTGAAGCACACATGTCCTGTCAATAGTTGCGTCATGTAGAAGTCAACTTGTCCGTGCTTTCTTTCTGTCCAACGCTCCACATCGGGCAGAAGCTTAAACGTCCACCTACTTTTTTCCGGTGCCACTCCATCGGCTTTGCCACGCTGAGGCCACGCGGGCTCTAGTCTCCTCCATCGATGCAATACCGCCGGCCAGGTCCTGGGCCTGTCATGGCGGCTAGGAACAACGCACTTTCTTCGGAGATGGTCCGAAAGCCACAAATGACACGGAGTGCGGCGCGTCTGTATGCCGCCCTGCAGGAGCGGCCATATGTTGGCGAGGTCATGACCGGAGCCCAGATCGGTGCCGCATACATGATTGTGGATTTCACCACACTGGCTAGAAAGCGCCTAGTCTACTGTTTTGGCCCGTTAACATTTCCTAACATTCTAGCTAAGGACGTGGCAACTTTAGCAGCTTTATTGCTCGTCACTTCTGGATGGAACTTGTACGTAAGCCGGTGATCCAGCATTACGCCAAGGTAACTAAGGAAGGGCTTGCACCGTACAGTAGTCCTACCCACTATTATTTGGGCGGTTTCTACCGCCTTCCTGCTGCTAATCAAGACGGATTCCGTGTTGTGCTCGGCGAGCTTCAGGCCATTAGCACATAGCCAGTGGGAAGCTACTGCGACGACAGCAATATCGTCTGCGAAGCCAACGATCGTAGCTCCTTCAGGGAGCTGTAGGTTGAGTATTCCGTCGTACATGCAGTTCCAGAGGGTAGGACCCAGGACCGAGCCCTGAGGAACACCTGCTGAAACTGCATAGCTTCGACGGCCCTCCTCAGTATCGTAAGAAGCTGTCTGTTGCTAAGATACTCTGAGACTATGTCCACCAGATAGCTGGGGACCTATAAACGTCTCAGGGCCGAAAGTATCCGCTCCCAGTTTGCTGTGTTGAATGCGTCACAAGGCAGTATTTTTTGCTACCACCTCGCCAACGTGCTCCCTGGATTGCCTCAGAGGCCAGTTTGTGCACCAGCCCGATCGCGTCATATTGGGATAAGCCCGGACCCTCAGATAGAGCTACTTCGATTCGGTTGCAGATGAGCCTCTCGTATATCTTTGCAACTGTGTTAAGAATGCAGAGTGGTCTATAGGCCGCAAGGTTATCATTTTGATTGCCCTTGGGTAACAGTACCAGTCCCCGCATTTTCCAGGCTTCAGGGAACGTTCTCTGAGCGAAACAGGCATTGAAGAGCCTGACGAAGATCTCTAATCTCTCCGTCATTATGATCTTTAATGCCTTGTTAGGAATCATATCTGGGCCAGGGGCCTTTTCGACTTTGATTCTCTTAACTTCAGCCAAGACTTCTGCAGCATTTTTGAACTTGGAAATGTTAACACTTTGTAGCGGGGAGGGTTCTTGCTGTGGCTGCAGTGCTACACTCGGCGGGAAGAGGTGCGCCACTATGTTGCTGAGCTGCTCAGGACATGTTGGGGTGGGCTGGCTGAAGGCTGCCAACTTCCCCATTACCAGCTTGTACGCTGTACCCCAGGGACGTGCGTTTGCGTCATCGCATAGTTTTGCGAAGCATTGTTTTTTGCTCGCGGAGATCTTCTTTTTAAGAGCCGACCGCAAGGATTTGTAGAGGCGTTGGAGTGAGGCGAAGTTCGGCCTACCTCGAGACCGCATATATTGCCTTCGTGCCTGGTGGTACTTCCTGCGCGCCTTGGCAATGGCATCGGTCCACCAATACACCGGTGGACACCCATTACCGCCATTAGTCGCTTTCTTTATGCATATCGCATTTTCATTGGCGTTCTTACGCTCGTCATACGCGAGGCCTTTCATCATTGAGATCAGGGCTTGCGGGTCGAGGGTGGACACTCGGAACCCGGTGGACACATTGGTGTTTTTGCGTTTAAATCGCCCGTCTCTTATTTCCATGGTGATGGCCCGATGGTCACTACCGGTATAGATATCTGAGACTTGCCATGCTGACGTTCTGGTTAGGGTTGGGCTCATAAACGTGATGTTTATCACAGACCCCGTTCCCGCCTTCTCATAGGTGTTGGCTGACCCTGTATTAGCGAGAGTGAGACCTGACCGGGCAACAGCGTCCAACAATATGTGGCCTCAATGGTTTGTGAGGCGAGTGCCCCACTCCGTTGCCCAGGCGTTGAAATCGCCGGCAATGATGATGGGGTGTCGTCCTCTGGCGTCCTCCAGAATGTCGTTTACAATGCTGCCAAATGTCTGGGAGTCGACGCTGGGTGCAATGTAGCACGAATAGATGGTAAGGCTACCCACCTTCACCCTGCAAAACCTCTGCCTGAATGCCGGCATTGGATCTGCAGTGGTCTCGGGCTGCAGCTCCAAACTGCTGCACCACCTTGGGTGTTCTGAAACCAAATGCCATCGTGCTTACTTGCGTATGGCTTGCTCAAAATGGCCAGGTCTATTTTTAAGGCTCGCACCGTTTGTGCAAGCAAGTCCTGAGCCGCTCTGCAATGGTTCAAATTCAATTGGAACCATTTCCCCTTTGCTTTGAGAGCCTGCTGGTAAGCTGGACAGCTTCTGCTAAGCGTGTGGTGCTTGCAGTTTACACCATGGGTTTTTGCGCATAGTAGGCAGCGTGCCTCTTTGCTGCGGCTTTTGGACTCGTGATCGAGTCCACCGCAGTTAAAACACGCTTTGGACAAATGCTACGTTAGTGCAAAGCCATGTGATCAAATGCGAGGCATTTATAGCATCGCTTTGGCTCTACTGTTTTCGCACCCTACAGTGCGCCCAATCGATGCGGATTTTTCCGTCCGCTAGGATCTTCTCCGCAAGAACGGGGGGATGTTCATCTTAGCTATGAGCGTGCCCCCGTAAGCCTTCCTTAGTTAAGGGATGGCCGCTGGTGGAAATCACCCTCATAGTTGGCGAAAACCGCCTGAATAATATCGTCCTTCGACGAAAACTCTGCTATGCCCCTAATCTCAACGTGGACTCGCTCCTTCAGTTTCTTGACCACTGCCTTATCAGACAGAGTCTCTTGCATTGCCTTCTGTAGTTTGGATGTGGCTGGGTCGGCCGTTTTTATCATTTTGATGAGGAGCTCGCCCCTGCCAGTCATTCGAATGCCTTTGACGCAATTATTGTGTTTCTTCAAAGTTGGGTTATTTTTCACCTAATTTTTCACATCTAATACTTCGGCATACTGCATGCCCTCGCCACACTTGAAGACTAGTGCGTCTGTGCGTGGAGGGAATTTTTTCTGCTGCTGCTTTTTTGGCTGCTGCTTCTTCGGTTTTTTGGTAATCGTCGACCATTTTTCCGCACCCTCCTTCGTGCCTTTGGCCGCATGGCTCGGCGGAAGAGGGCCGGAAATTTCCTTCGCTGCACTAGCGTAGGTTATGGATTTCAGCACCTTATTGCTTGTGCCGCAAGGTTGCGGCACCTTCTTCCTTTTTGGCGCTGAGAGCTTACCGGCTCTAGGGCTCTCACGTGACCTCTTGGGTGTGGACTTTTGCTCACTCGGATTCTTCGGAGCCGTCTCCAGAATTCTTAGCGCTGACTTTTGGAGGGCGATGACTTGATGGACGAGTTCCTTCATAGGAATCGTCACCATCACCCTCGTCTTACCTGGCATCATACTATTCAACTGGGATAATTTCTCCCCGATCGCGCCAATGACTCCGTCTATGTCGCCATTCGCGATAAGCGGAGCCAGGTTAGAATTAGTGTTAGTTTCCAGGAACACTACAAAATTAAGAAATGCACTGGATTTAAACGATCAAAAATATAAGAATTCACTTTATTGTTACTTGTCCTGACTTGGTTCCCTGCTGCTGCACCGATACCTTATTATTTAAGCCGCGGAGGCTGTAGCGCGCATTGGCTCCCGAAACGCGTGATTCGATTTTTACCTGATTGCGGAGCGTGTGGCTGCTCTCTGCGTCTGACCGGGGTAAATTACTATGAGTTTCATTTAATGTTGATCCTTTTATCAAGGTAGCGCGAAAATTTCTTCCCAACAAATCGTTTTACCGCACACTTTGTGCAATACTTTCTTAATAGCGACAAATAAATTTTTTTTGGGTTGTTCACGGCCAAAATTGCTCCTTAACTTAAAAAAAAAACAATTACAGCAAAAGTAACGGCTATAAAGTCTATATTTAATTTTAAATTTTTTTCTTTTTATAGGCCATGAGGGCATTCATTGAATCGAACTTTAAACTGCTTGACATAGACAGCGATGGAATTGTTGGAGTGAAAGAATACCGTTATAACTGCATAACTAGAATAGCCATCGACGACATTGCCCCAATTGACAAAGCCTTTGAAACATTGCTAAACGTGAGTTGGCTTAAAAAGTTACCTATAATATAACAACTTTAAAAATATGTTGCTTTTTCTTTTTAGGACGATGATCGGAAATGTGGAGGTCTTTCGCTAAACCGGTACAAAGAACTTTATGGTCAATTTTTGGGTAACACAGCTGATAATCATCTGGCAGTGAATCTTTTTGGACCTTTATAAATATTCTTTTAAAATTAATTATCTTCGCTGTTGTTCAACTACTATTTATTAAGATGTATTTGTAATTACTATGACTTAAAATTTATTATCACATAGCAATAAAACATTTATATCATTTTGCGTAGAATCGTCAGATGACCAGTTCGTTAACTTTAATGTTTTATAGTTAGTTAAGTACCTTTGCTCTCAGAAGTTAAATATAGGTTATGATGTTGATTTGCTCTCCTTGAAAAGGCTCTTAAGTTATAAGCCTCTCTCTCGAAGCCTTATTGATTTCAAATGTTGTGTTAAATAAAAACTTATTATAAATATAGTTATTAAAATAAATGAATTAAAATGGCGGCTAGGAACAACGCACTTTCTTCGGAGATGGTCCGAAAGCCACAAATGACACGGAGTGCGGCGCGTCTGTATGCCGCCCTGCAGGAGCGGCCATATGTTGGCGAGGTCATGACCGGAGCCCAGATCGGTGCCGCATACATGATTGTGGATTTCACCACACTGGCTAGAAAGCGCCTAGTCTACTGTTTTGGCCCGTTAACATTTCCTAACATTCTAGCTAAGGACGTGGCAACTTTAGCAGCTTTATTGCTCGTCACTTCTGGATGGAACTTGTACGTAAGCCGGTGATCCAGCATTACGCCAAGGTAACTAAGGAAGGGCTTGCACCGTACAGTAGTCCTACCCACTATTATTTGGGCGGTTTCTACCGCCTTCCTGCTGCTAATCAAGACGGATTCCGTGTTGTGCTCGGCGAGCTTCAGGCCATTAGCACATAGCCAGTGGGAAGCTACTGCGACGACAGCAATATCGTCTGCGAAGCCAACGATCGTAGCTCCTTCAGGGAGCTGTAGGTTGAGTATTCCGTCGTACATGCAGTTCCAGAGGGTAGGACCCAGGACCGAGCCCTGAGGAACACCTGCTGAAACTGCATAGCTTCGACGGCCCTCCTCAGTATCGTAAGAAGCTGTCTGTTGCTAAGATACTCTGAGACTATGTCCACCAGATAGCTGGGGACCTATAAACGTCTCAGGGCCGAAAGTATCCGCTCCCAGTTTGCTGTGTTGAATGCGTCACAAGGCAGTATTTTTTGCTACCACCTCGCCAACGTGCTCCCTGGATTGCCTCAGAGGCCAGTTTGTGCACCAGCCCGATCGCGTCTATGGTGGAGTGCTTCTTCCTAAATCCAAATTCATATTGGGATAAGCCCGGACCCTCAGATAGAGCTACTTCGATTCGGTTGCAGATGAGCCTCTCGTATATCTTTGCAACTGTGTTAAGAATGCAGAGTGGTCTATAGGCCGCAAGGTTATCATTTTGATTGCCCTTGGGTAACAGTACCAGTCCCCGCATTTTCCAGGCTTCAGGGAACGTTCTCTGAGCGAAACAGGCATTGAAGAGCCTGACGAAGATCTCTAATCTCTCCGTCATTATGATCTTTAATGCCTTGTTAGGAATCATATCTGGGCCAGGGGCCTTTTCGACTTTGATTCTCTTAACTTCAGCCAAGACTTCTGCAGCATTTTTGAACTTGGAAATGTTAACACTTTGTAGCGGGGAGGGTTCTTGCTGTGGCTGCAGTGCTACACTCGGCGGGAAGAGGTGCGCCACTATGTTGCTGAGCTGCTCAGGACATGTTGGGGTGGGCTGGCTGAAGGCTGCCAACTTTCCCATTACCAGCTTGTACGCTGTACCCCAGGGACGTGCGTTTGCGTCATCGCATAGTTTTGCGAAGCATTGTTTTTTGCTCGCGGAGATCTTCTTTTTAAGAGCCGACCGCAAGGATTTGTAGAGGCGTTGGAGTGAGGCGAAGTTCGGCCTACCTCGAGACCGCATATATTGCCTTCGTGCCTGGTGGTACTTCCTGCGCGCCTTGGCAATGGCATCGGTCCACCAATACACCGGTGGACACCCATTACCGCCATTAGTCGCTTTCTTTATGCATATCGCATTTTCATTGGCGTTCTTACGCTCGTCATACGCGAGGCCTTTCATCATTGAGATCAGGGCTTGCGGGTCGAGGGTGGACACTCGGAACCCGGTGGACACATTGGTGTTTTTGCGTTTAAATCGCCCGTCTCTTATTTCCATGGTGATGGCCCGATGGTCACTACCGGTATATATATCTGAGACTTGCCATGCTGACGTTCTGGTTAGGGTTGGGCTCATAAACGTGATGTTTATCACAGACCCCGTTCCCGCCTTCTCATAGGTGTTGGCTGACCCTGTATTAGCGAGAGTGAGACCTGACCGGGCAACAGCGTCCAACAATATGTGGCCTCAATGGTTTGTGAGGCGACTGCCCCACTCCGTTGCCCAGGCGTTGAAATCGCCGGCAATGATGATGGGGTGTCGTCCTCTGGCGTCCTCCAGAATGTCGTTTACAATGCTGCCAAATGTCTGGGAGTCGACGCTGGGTGCAATGTAGCACGAACAGATGGTAAGGCTACCCACCTTCACCCTGACAAAACCTCTGCCTGAATGCCGGCATTGGATCTGCAGTGGTCTCGGGCTGCAGCTCCAAACTGCTGCACCACCTTGGGTGTTCTGAAACCAAATGCCATCGTGCTTACTTGCGTATGGCTTGCTCAAAATGGCCAGGTCTATTTTTAAGGCTCGCACCGTTTGTGCAAGCAAGTCCTGAGCCGCTCTGCAATGGTTCAAATTCAATTGGAACCATTTCCCCTTTGCTTTGAGAGCCTGCTGGTAAGCTGGACAGCTTCTGCTAAGCGTGTGGTGCTTGCAGTTTACACCATGGGTTTTTGCGCATAGTAGGCAGCGTGCCTCTTTGCTGCGGCTTTTGGACTCGTGATCGAGTCCACCGCAGTTAAAACACGCTTTGGACAAATGCTACGTTAGTGCAAAGCCATGTGATCAAATGCGAGGCATTTATAGCATCGCTTTGGCTCTACTGTTTTCGCACCCTACAGTGCGCCCAATCGATGCGGATTTTTCCGTCCGCTAGGATCTTCTCCGCAAGAACGGGGGGGATGTTCATCTTAGCTATGAGCGTGCCCCCGTAAGCCTTCCTTAGTTAAGGGATGGCCGCTGGTGGAAATCACCCTCATAGTTGGCGAAAACCGCCTGAATAATATCGTCCTTCGACGAAAACTCTGCTATGCCCCTAATCTCAACGTGGACTCGCTCCTTCAGTTTCTTGACCACTGCCTTATCAGACAGAGTCTCTTGCATTGCCTTCTGTAGTTTGGATGTGGCTGGGTCGGCCGTTTTTATCATTTTGATGAGGAGCTCGCCCCTGCCAGTCATTCGAATGCCTTTGACGCAATTATTGTGTTTCTTCAAAGTTGGGTTATTTTTCACCTAATTTTTCACATCTAATACTTCGGCATACTGCATGCCCTCGCCACACTTGAAGACTAGTGCGTCTGTGCGTGGAGGGAATTTTTTCTGCTGCTGCTTTTTTGGCTGCTGCTTCTTCGGTTTTTTGGTAATCGTCGACCATTTTTCCGCACCCTCCTTCGTGCCTTTGGCCGCATGGCTCGGCGGAAGAGGGCCGGAAATTTCCTTCGCTGCACTAGCGTAGGTTATGGATTTCAGCACCTTATTGCTTGTGCCGCAAGGTTGCGGCACCTTCTTCCTTTTTGGCGCTGAGAGCTTACCGGCTCTAGGGCTCTCACGTGACCTCTTGGGTGTGGACTTTTGCTCACTCGGATTCTTCGGAGCCGTCTCCAGAATTCTTAGCGCTGACTTTTGGAGGGCGATGACTTGATGGACGAGTTCCTTCATAGGAATCGTCACCATCACCCTCGTCTTACCTGGCATCATACTATTCAACTGGGATAATTTCTCCCCGATCGCGCCAATGACTCCGTCTATGTCGCCATTCGCGATAAGCGGAGCCAGGTTAGAATTAGTGTTAGTTTCCAGGAACACTACAAAATTAAGAAATGCACTGGATTTAAACGATCAAAAATATAAGAATTCACTTTATTGTTACTTGTCCTGACTTGGTTCCCTGCTGCTGCACCGATACCTTATTATTTAAGCCGCGGAGGCTGTAGCGCGCATTGGCTCCCGAAACGCGTGATTCGATTTTTACCTGATTGCGGAGCGTGTGGCTGCTCTCTGCGTCTGACCGGGGTAAATTACTATGAGTTTCATTTAATGTTGATCCTTTTATCAAGGTAGCGCGAAAATTTCTTCCCAACAAATCGTTTTACCGCACACTTTGTGCAATACTTTCTTAATAGCGACAAATACATTTTTTTTTGGGTTGTTCACGGCCAAAATTGCTCCTTAACTTAAAAAAAAAACAATTACAGCAAAAGTAACGGCTATAAAGTCTATATTTAATTTTAAATTTTTTTCTTTTTATAGGCCATGAGGGCATTCATTGAATCGAACTTTAAACTGCTTGACATAGACAGCGATGGAATTGTTGGAGTGAAAGAATACCGTTATAACTGCATAACTAGAATAGCCATCGACGACATTGCCCCAATTGACAAAGCCTTTGAAACATTGCTAAACGTGAGTTGGCTTAAAAAGTTACCTATAATATAACAACTTTAAAAATATGTTGCTTTTTCTTTTTAGGACGATGATCGGAAATGTGGAGGTCTTTCGCTAAACCGGTACAAAGAACTTTATGGTCAATTTTTGGGTAACACAGCTGATAATCATCTGGCAGTGAATCTTTTTGGACCTTTATAAATATTCTTTTAAAATTAATTATCTTCGCTGTTGTTCAACTACTATTTATTAAGATGTATTTGTAATTACTATGACTTAAAATTTATTATCACATAGCAATAAAACATTTATATCATTTTGCGTAGAATCGTCAGATGACCAGTTCGTTAACTTTAATGTTTTATAGTTAGTTAAGTACCTTTGCTCTCAGAAGTTAAATATAGGTTATGATGTTGATTTGCTCTCCTTGAAAAGGCTCTTAAGTTATAAGCCTCTCTCTCGAAGCCTTATTGATTTCAAATGTTGTGTTAAATAAAAACTTATTATAAATATAGTTATTAAAATAAATGAATTAAACTTTCGCTAAATATTTCGCAACAAAATTTTTGGGTGGAGGGGTAGCTTAGTAGTAAATACGCATTTTACTAACCCGTCTAAAGAAATAAGTTTAGCCGTTTATCGTACACAGCCTGCACAACTGGACAGAATAATTGGTTTTATTGAGTCAATACAATCATACCCAGGTTGCCGGGTCGTCGGCACTGCATGTGTCTTTATAAAGACCCGCCCTCTATCACGTAATCCGGGAACTTCTGTGGGTGGATCTTTTTTTTTTGGCGCATCTAGCACCCAACCACCAATGCTAACTCCGTTGCTATTTCCAGCGTTTCCAGCAACGGTTGTCTGGTTTAAGCATCGGCTTTCCCTTCCGGAAACTTATTTTGAGTTATAATGCTACAACTTGCAACTCTTCTGTTTGGCCACTTAAACTGCTGTTTAGCCACGTCATGTGATCATTGATCAGTTACTACCCTGAAATGGTATCCTTTCAGAAACGAAGGTCCAAAGGTTCAACTCGACTATGAGATAACCTTTTCGCCATCCTCGTTTTCAGGCTTAAGAATTGCCAGGAAATACAGAGTGAACAGTTTCTCAAAGTATGGACAGGCCAGCACTGGGACCGCCACCAATCTTTTCTTAACTTGGAACACATTTTGGTGTACATACAAACTACGTGGTCCAATATATAGTTGATGCGTGGCATCGAAAACGTGTTTTTAATGGATTTCGTATTAATTTCTCTAACGTCGAGGCTATGTGTCTTTTATCTTGAAAGTTTTTTACACCCCATCTTAAGTAGTTCCTCCACCTTCTCGTTGATCTCTTCTATATTTTTGGATCCACTGTCACTTACAGCTTTCCATTGTGTCTTATTTTTACCACCATACGCAGTTGGTGTCCAGCACATTTGAACTCGGAGTCGATTCATATCAGGAAATTGTTTTGAGGACTGCATTGTACAGATGACCTTGTACTCCAATTTAAGCGGAGAACGGGCGCTTATTAACCAATGTAGGCTTCTTGCTTTCTATTTTAATTGTGTTCTTTTGGCTGTGCTATCAAGGTGAACTCCAAGATAAGTTTCTTCAGTTGTTTGCGGATTATGAATGTTGTTCAGAGATGGTGGGGAACAAGTTTGTCTGTTTAGGGTTAAGTTGACGTGTTTGCTCTTTTGCTCATTTTGCTCTTTCTTTTCTAAAGGCTCGAGATGAGCTGATAAATGTTGTGTTGCTTTTATAAGGCAACTAGAACGACTAGAATCGGCTAGCATGCAGTATCTTCAGCAAATGCTTGTTCTAAGCCTGGTTGTTGGAAGATCTGCTGTGTAAACGCAGATGAAAGTTTTGGCGACATCCAACAAAACTGCGGTGCAATACTCTTGACTTTCAAATATGTTTCGTATCTCGAAGGTTATTCGGCTTACTTGTTCAATGGTTCCGCGTTTTTTTGCGGAATCCGGATTGGTGCATTGGGATGCCATTATGGCACTGTAGGTGTGGCTCTGTACATATTCATATTCATGAGCAGCCTCTTAAATACTTTTGATAGGCACTGCAGGAGACTGGCCTATGTGACGAAGACTGTGACTTGTCCTTTTGGCTTTATGGATCATAGTGAGGCCAGAGGTTTTCTATTAAGAAACCGCTTTGGATATCGATGTGTGTTGATGTAGCTTGTATACAAGCTCTAGCTACCATTGTGTTGGTTATAGTTATCAGCATTTCTTCTACGCTATTAGGCAATTGTGTGTTTGCAGTCATATGTTGGCTATTAATTTCTGGGCGTTGGTTTAGTGTTTGTTGCCCCACTATATCAGCAGTGGCTAGATGACCTGTCAGCTTAGAGGATGAGGCGTAAGTCCCGTTGTTTTTATTTAACGCCCGTGCAAAAGAAACTCCCGGGGTCGTGGTGGATGGTTTATATGGAGAATTGTTTCGTATTATAGAATTTCGAGCAGCAGTCATTTGTTGGACTAGTCGACTGTTCAACTCTTTATACACATGACAACCAAAGTTACTACATTTCTTGACAGAATGGTTCTGAGTTTAGGCCTCAGTTCGATGTGCATCCCCATAGGCAACGCAGACTGCGCGTAAAGCGCTGTAAGTTATCGTCTGACCGCAATCTTGCCTTGATCTATTGTACCCCCTATCTTAGCTTAAAACTTACCCATCAACCCGGTTCCTCCGATAAATCCAAGAAGCTTTGTTGGGTCGATGCTTCCGGAGGTCCCAAGTGTTACGGACCGAGAACCGAGGGTTCTACATCTCTACATCCCAGCCTTGGCTGGGTAGTCTGAATTATGTGTAGGGAGGTTTCATCCTCGTTATCACAGAATCTGCATGTCTTGCTGTTCACTATTTCTATATTACATAGGTGACTCATTAGTCTGCAATGTCCGGTTAGTAATCCGGCACTTACCCTAAGTTAATTCCTCCCTAGTGGTATAAGTTTCTTGAACCTCTTCATGTCATAATTGATGATAAGGCTTGCCTTTGGCCTGTGGTGCTCTCCCAGCAAGCTTGCCTCATATGTTCCTCTTCTTTTCTCAGATAATCTTTGATTGTGTGTCTGCCTACGCCATAATAAGGCTCGTGACCTATAAAGGGACGTTCCGCCCCTAGTTTTGCTAGTTCGGTCCCGGATATGTCTTTATGTCTTGGAATCCATCTTAGTGACAGCCTGTTGCTGCTGCCCAGAAGGTTTATTATTGTTCTCACTTCTCGAACCTGCTTCGAGGTGATCCTATTACTAGAGAGTGCAGTAATTGCCGCTCGACTGTTCGAGAGGACTGCAATGTCCTTATTTGTGTACCCGCGCTCCATATTGAGCTCCGCACACCGTCCTATGGAACATACCTCAGCTTGGAATATGCTGGTGCATTGGCCTAAAAATTTATGGTACTTGATTCGTGGTCCTATTACTCCAAGGCCAGTGCCTTGGTGTGTTACAGACCCGTCCGTATACCATGCTATAGTGTGACTCGCCATGGAGTGTACTTCCTTCATGGTGGTCCATTCTTTCTTGTTGCTCAGATGAGCAGAGAAATTCTTTTCGAAGATGAATTCTACTGTCATTTCGTCCCTGGGGTGTGAACTCAGGGGAAATTCGACTAGTAGTTTTGCAGCATCCCTAGAGCTGAGGATGCGGTCACTGCCATTACCTCAAGAAGTGATTCTTAGTAGGGTGGCTTTCCGCTGTAACTCTACTACGCAGTGTAGCAGAGTGAGTTCCATGAGAACTTTCAGTGCCGCAGTGGGGCAGGTTCTCATTGCTCCTGTCATACATATGCATGCCAGTCTTTGCAGCCTTTGGAGCTGTTTCTGTGCGGTAATGAGTCTAGCTCTTTTACCCCAGGCTACTGACCCATATGTGAGTATTGGCCTCACAATTATAGCCATCTGATGATTTGGGGTGAGGTCACCCAAGATTTCCCTGCAATTTTCCAACAGGTGAAGAGAGCCCTGAGGCACTTATCCACTGTCTTTTGCATGTGGGTTGCAAACGTTAGTCTCCTGTCGAAGGTAACTCCGAGGTACTAAACTTCCCGGCTTATTGCTACCGGGGTACCTAGTAGCATGATTTGTCTCATTTTCTGTTGTTTGTACTTCCTTGTAAAAGGATCAATGACTGTCTTTGCGGGGTTGAGGTTAAGCCTAACTTCCCTGCACCAGTCTAGCGTTATCTTGAGTCCGAGTTGGACAATATCGCAAAGCTTTTCTTTAAATTTCCCTTTGGCTACTATTACTATGTCATCGGCATAGCCCTGGCATTGTATTCTTCTATCGGCGAGTTTCTTTAGTAGTTCATCTACTAGTAGGCTCCACAGTAAAGGAGACAAAACTCCTCCTTGCGGACATCCTCTGCTTGTGGCAACGGTCATTGTGCTGTTGCCAATGGTCGCCATTGCCTGCCTGGAGCTTAACAAGGCTCCAATCCACCTTCTTGTTGTCGCGTCTATATTCCTTCTGGCGAGGGCCGCTAAGACAGCATCGTGGGACGCATTGTCAAAGGCTCCCTCTATATCCAGAAAGGCGCAGATTGCAACTTCTTTGTTGTCCACTGCCCCTTCAAGAGTGTGACAAAGTTGGTACAGTGCAGTGTCTTTTGAACGACCTGCCCTGTATGCGTGCTGCGTGGGTTGCAGCGGACAGTCCTTAAGAACTGTGCTCCTAATATGATAGTCTACCAGCTTTTCCAACGTTTTAAAGCAAAACGAAGTTAAGCTGATAGGTCGGAAGGACTTTGGGTTGGTGATGTCTTTCTTCCCTGCTTTGGGGATGAAGGCCACCCTAGCTCTACGCCACGCTTTTGGGATGTGTCCAATTGCTAGGCTGCTTAGCATCAGTCTCCTTCGGCGGGTTAGGAGTAAATCCAGTCCCTGCTGCAGGAATGATGGAGAGATACCATCTAGACCAGGTGACTTAAATGGTTGGAAGATCCCAATTGCCCATTTAAGTCTCTCCGGAGAGACTAGAGACTTGGCAATTGCCAGTCCTCTGCGCTTGGTCTGAGGTGTCTTGGAGTGGACGATGCCTCCATTGGGTTGGACGTATCTTCCGCCAGGGGTGAGCTCCCAGGGAAGTGTGTTTTAAAGAGTAAAGCTGGTTTATCCCTGTCGTCGGAAGTGTAAGAATTGTCACATTTCCTCAGGGCTATGTTACTTTCTGGTGCAACTTTGGCCATAGCCTTGTGCAATCTTGCCCCTTCACCAGCAATGCTGTTGCCTCACAGAAGTCTCTGTAGTTCTTCCGTTTGGCCTTCCTGATCTCTTTGTCGTAGAGCGTCAGGCTTTGTTTATATTGTCCTCAGTTATCCTCGCTCGTTTTTGCTCTGTTGAAGAGCCGGCGGGTAGAGATTCTGAGCCGTTCCAGGTTGGCGTTCCACTATGGG